AAAGTGTTATGGGATCGTACTCATAATAATAATAATGGACTATTCCATACTTAATAAATACTGTGCCTCAGGAGTAGGCAAGGAGTGAGTAGTCAATCGAGTCAGTAGTTCAAGTCGAGTCAAGAGTTGAGTCAGAGGCAGTCCGAAACAGAGTCGCGTTCAGACAATTACTGCAAGACATTGGAATAGTGATACTGGTCGAGACTAAATTGTTCTCTCTACTAAACTTGATTGTTCATACTAACACTTCTACTTCTCTGTATATATTCCTGTTTTTAATATATCTGTGTTATTCCATACCTGTGTGCGAGTTCTTCTTTATTGATTCTACCATGGACTATCACCGTGATACAAGGAACCATGGACCCTAACAAAAAGGAATATTTTATTAGAAGAAAAGTGCTAAACAGCTATGTAATATGGCAGTAAATCTTGGATCATTTGCTCACAGATGCAAAAAAGACTTGTGACAAGGATGCATTTCTAAACAAGGAAAAGGATACATAGAAAGTTAAAATTTCTAGGGCACATAATAGGAAAGAACGCTTGGAAAATTTGACACTCACAGGACATGTTGAGGTCAAGAAGGTCAGAAGGAAAGAGCAAATAACCCAATGATTTTGTGTAAAAGAATGGCAAAGTAAGAACAATAATAAAGAAATAACTACCCTCATTCCCTACATACAGGGGGCTGATACTATTTTTCAGACACTTTATTTTTTCAAGATTTAGGTAGCACAGGCAATCTGTACTGTTTTAGTGTAATAGCAATAATATTTAAAACCTGTTTCAATGGAAAAGCAGAATTCAAATTAGAAGTATTTTTATTTTTTTTACAAATTTTCACATTACACAGGCGAGAGTATTTTTTGGACATTACAGAAACAATGCTAATAGTTTATGGCAGCCTATTTTTAGCATCTTGTATGCGCTGCCACAGTTCAGCCTCTCTGGTTATTTCTCGCCCATCATAAACAAGCTCTGCAAGTATTTTCCATATGTTTTCAATTAAATTTAAGTCTGGACTTCTTGCAGGCCATTCCAGAGTAGTTATATTTGCTTCAGACATCCAATTTTTCACTGATTTGGCCACACGGATGCTTCAGTTATCTTGCTGCAAAATAAAATTACTTCCCATTTCTTTTTCTATGAGTGGTAGGGCTCTCTTTTCCAAAAGTTCTCTGTAGCTCAAGCTATTTTGACGTCCTTTTAACCATTCGAGCCACAAGTTTCCATTCGGAAATACCATACCCCAAACCATGACAACTCCTCCTCCCATCTGTGTCTTGTTGAGAATAACAGGTTCACCTTTTCTTGACCATGTACACAACCCATCAGGTCCATTGAACTTAAAACGTTTTTCATCAGTAAATATCACTTTCTTGAAGTCGGCATGGTTTGTTTTCCATCTTTTGGTACTTTCCAGCCTTGCCTCCATGTGTTTTCTCAGTGTAATTCTTTTCTTGATTTTAGCATACTTAAGTCCAATTTCGCGTAGCTTTCTTTGTACAGTTTGAACAGTGACATCAAGTTCACACTTCTCCTTTACTTTCTTCACTGTCACCTTTTCTCCAGATGATAACAACCTCGTAACACTCCTCTTCATTCTTCTTTTTGTTCTCTTGGAAATTGTTTTTTTCCATCCTCTCTTCTTCTTCTTCCCCCACTCATAGTCTGTACTTAGCATGTATTAAAGTGTTGACTTCGGTAGCTTCATCTCAGTGGCGATCTTTCGGATGCTGAGCCCATCTTCTCTCTTCTTTTGGAACAAACTAATGACTTCTTTTGAATGCATTCTTCTTCAGGATTTTAATACGTTTTCGCAGTGAGTGGTAAAGATACTCAAATGTAATGGTCAGGGTACAATTTACCTGCAGAAAATTTGCATATTGTAGATGTTCGACCACTAAATCTTTAAAAAAACAGAATTTGTGTCATGTCCGAAAAATAGTGTCGCCTAAGTTGAAGTAAAAATAAAGAAAACATGAAAGCAAAGACAAACCCATCAATCAATGTTCATACCATTAATGGATAGTTACTGCTGAACTACCTACTCATCAACACAAAAGCACTCGGCAGCAAAAAACACCTTAAAGCACACTTTTCAAAGTGTCCCCAAAATAGTGTCGGCCCCTGTATTCCACTGGTGAGATGTATGTTTCCATTGAGTAGCTTCTTCCTGCAACTCCCAAGAGAATGTTTTTCTGATCACTACAATCTTAACCTGTTCAAGTCTCGGGCAAACCGTTATCTTCCCCCTATATTCATATAAACTGTGCCTTTTATTCCGTATTCCTCTACCTTGAGTGGATCCCAGGCCTTGTACAGAGAGAACAACACTGTAAACTAAAAAAAATTCTTCAGAGCTATAAAGGACAGGAAGTTGTTGAAAGCCACATCTTGGGGGACACGTCAATGAGAAGAAGATTTGTACCTGAATATTTGAGACTAGGTTTTGTTTCTATTCAATTTTTTTCCACTTATGTCTTTGTCTTGAATGTTTCCTTTTTTTATCATTAACTCATTGAATAATAAATAACAAAGACTGTCTCTTAAAAGACAAACTTGCACTCAAAACGTTCTTTCATACATTTTTCAAATGTTCATTCTCTTTCTCAGAAATTTTTAATGTGAAACTTGTCTTGCATTCTATATGAGGCCTTTTTTTCTCAGCATGGTTTTCTTTTTTAAATATGGAAGGATAGATGGCATAAGAAATATTGTCCCCTAGACTTGTCCTAATGAAGACTGTAGTTGAGATCATCAAATCAATGTGAATGATCCTTTAATTGGCCACATAGTATATGTTTTTTTCGCTACACAGTTCTAACCATGTTTCAAAAATGGAAGCTAAAAGACCCAAATTTAATTTTGTAATTAAATTAAAGACATTAGCTCCATTTCATTCTCAAGCAAATTATGGAGTAACTTTTAAAATTACTGGGTTTTAAAGACACAACTAAAATCATAATTCACGTTTCCAAGGTTACAGATAAATCCACTTTCACTAGACAAGGGGTGTCGGCGTGTTCATTATGTCTGTATTTTGATGTATCAGTTATAATGTAACTAATAACTGAGACATCAAAAAAACATATTTTAAATCAATTAATTTATAACATATATATATATAATTTTTTCTTTTATATATATATACAGTAGCGTCCAAAACTAAGGGACAAAATTTTAAAACCTAATATTTGTTAATATTTTCTCAATTTTGTCCCTTACTTTTTGGACGATCCTATTTTGAAAATAAATAAATAATTGTTATAATTCTTTTTCTATCCTTTGAAAATGATTCAAATTTTAGTATGTTATTATGGATGATAACGACTACCAGTTGTCAAAATTTCAGCTTTTCACAGTTGTTATTTCTAACAAATATTAGGTTTTAAAATTTTGTCCCTTAGTTTTGGACGCTACTGTATATATATTTAAATTTTTCTTTTATATATATATATATATATATATATATATATATATGTGTGTGTGTGTGTGTGTGTGCGCGTGGGTGTGTCTGTGTGTGTACATTTAGGTAGCATATCTTCATTCAAGCATGTTTTGTTGAATAATCTAGACATATTATGACAATTTATTTTTATTTTAAATCTCTCAAGGTCATGGATCAGTTTCTTAGTGAGTGTACAAAATCGATCTAGAAAAAAGCCGTATTTATCCAGATGATTATTATTATCCCAAGTACTTTCAATCTCATCCAAGATCATCCCCTGGGGTGAATATCCTTACATAAAGAATTAATATAAGTTATGTCAGTCACATAAATATCAAATGCATTCTAACTACAAACAAGATGAAAAAAATCCTAAAAACTCATGGCTGCCTCCATGTATCCTCCATTAATCCCAGTAAAAAATAAAAATAATTATAAACTATACTAAATTTAATACAACCAGATTATTCAGTCTATAGTATTCAACCATATATATATATATAAAGCTAAATATGCCATCATTTTTTGATGGCATAAGTAAACTGGTAAGTTTCATTAGAAAGGTCAACTAACATTTTTGTTGCACTTACATGATCTTTCTTTTTATGTGCCATGTCCTTTCAAGACATAGGCAATCATGGCTCCCCACCTCCTTCTATCACGAGCAGCCCTCATCAAGTTCCTTACCTCTGATTCCTCCCCCAGACTACGTTTTGTTATCCACCTGCTCAAGCTTGCCAGGTATGTCACATGCTGCTTTCCCTTGTCTCTCTTTCCCTCTATTTGACCTGTGAGTATCAGATTCTCCAGGTCCTCCTTCCTCATTATATGTCCCAGAAATTTCAGCTGTCTCTTCCTGATATTAAGTATAAGCCTCTTCCTTGTTTGCATCCTCTCTAAGACCACACTGTTGTTCACACACTTTGTCCATGATATCCTTAGCATCCTTCTGTAGAACCACATCTCTGTTGCCTTGAGTCTTTTCTTCATCTCTGAGGAAATCATCCAACATTCACTGCTGTAAAGAAGAACAGATATCATGTAACAGCTCAGTATTCTTTTCTTTGTTACCAAAGAAATCCTGCTGTCTTGAAATAGTCTGCCCAGCTTTTGGAATGTGTCTTTGGCCATCCCAATACATGTATGCATCTGAGTGTCACACTTACTGTCCTCTGTGAAGATGCTTCCCAGATATTTAAACTCCGGCATCTACTTGATTCTAGTGTTCCCAACCTGCAAATCACATTCCAGGCTCTTCCTTTTACTTATGCCTAAAAAAGATACAACCTTTCTTTATGACGTGTATAAATGAAATACACCCATTTGTGAACATGTTCAGTACTAAAAATAAATCATTATTTAAATATCAACATATAATTCAAAAAAGTATTTTAAAATTTATTTCATTTCATATTTCATTGCCTTTCACATAAACCACAGCTAGAAATATCTTTTAATTAGTTCTTTCTTTGTGATTTTCTTTCTTTATTTTCTCCTCTTCTCGATGTAGATTTATTTAGGGAAGATCTTTCAATTAGTTTTATATATGCTTTCCTTTCTTCTTTATTTAAACCTCTTCTTGATGACTACTTCTTGGTGGACATCTTTCAGTGATTTCTTTCTTTCTTTCTACTCGTTTTGACGTATACATTTTAGACACCATCTTTCAGATAGTTCTTGTGTCAAGCTTTCCTTCCTTATATATTTTCTCCTCTTCTTGACGTATACATTTTAGACACATCCTTCATTTAGTTCTTGCATCAATCTTTTCTTTCTTCTTTATTTTCTTCACTTCTTAATATATACTTTTGTAGGGAACATCTTTCATTTAGTTATTTCCTTCTTCTCTTTTTTCTTTTTTATTTTCTCCTCTGCCCGATGTATATGTTTTGAAGGACTCCAGGTTTTTACTACTTCTTCTATGCTTGTCATTTGTTTCTATTTTCTTCTCTTTATTTTCATTTTATACATTTTCTCCAAATTTATTATTCATCTTGATCATTTTTTCAGTCTAAAATTCTTTGTCATCCACTTTTATAACTTCTCTCCCTACTGCTGCCTTTCACCCACATATTTATCTATTTTCTTTTAGTCTAATTCATCAGTTACAAGCACTTGTTTGTATCTTTTATTTTTCTGAGGTGGAGTTTTGCTTTTATCTCCTTTCTATTCAATTCAAAGACAGTTTACAAAACAGGCAATCATTTATCACTTTTCTTTGGCTGCTTTGTTTGTTTTGCTCATCTTCCTTTTATCAACAGTTACAGGGTCAATGATCCTCACAATAGCAATGACTCAGCTCAACAGAATTGTGTTGTTATGAATATATTCATGGCTCTATCAAAAAGGGAGCTGGCTGAAATGGCTACTGTTTGATATGATACCATTTTCGGTGCCATAGCTGAGTCTGTTGAGGCAGAAAAAAATGGTAAAGGGATCTGTGGAATTTGATCCTGTGCAATCCAAGCCTGGGTGCATTTATATGCATCAGTACATATGCACTGCACTTTCAAAGTATGCTTTGTTCACTCTTCCATGTTCTGATGGACTACATTTTGTAGTTGAAGATGCATGGGAGTTGAATCATGAATAAAAAAAATTCCTCCTGAAACTGGCAGATGATCCGCCAAAATACCTCTTGAAGTGTTTTAATCTTATTATATGATGAATTGTTCTCATTCCCTTCAAATACAATTGGTAAGAAGGACATTTCATTTTTTTCCCCAAGAATTGCTATTTTTAGAAACAAACTCTCAAGAGGATGCTTTGATGACTGCTCTAATCTTAACTTAAAGTTTAGAGTTAACTGTAAACTTTTACCTATTTGTCTCCTCATAATCTACACTTACCTTCCCCTTCATTTAGTACATGACTCTTGGGCCTTATATTGGGTGAATGTTTTCTGAAAAAAGAAAAGTCACTGATACCTGTTATTTACAAAATTTTATTTAGTGGAAAAGGAAAATAAAAGCAAAACTTTGGAAATTTTATCAAATTAGCATCTTTGATATTTTTATTGTTCTTTTGATTAGATTACCTGCCAACAATTTCAGGTAACATCCTCTAAGATCAGTTTTCTTTGACTGAACAATTCTGTATTAAATTATGGTAATCTATGGGCATCTAACAAATGGTAACATGCTAGGACAGTCAATTAGTAATGAAAATTCTGTTGATTTAACTCTTGAATGAAATATAACTTTAAAACTGAGAAACATAGAAAAGAGTAATAAACTGTTGCATAATATCAATTCTGTGTATGCTGGACAATTTCCACAGATTGAGAGGAGCCTTGAGGCAACAGATATGTTGTTCTATTGAAAGAAGCTAAGAACACCATGGATGGAACATGTAAGCAACAAATCATATATAAAACTAAATATGCATATTTATATGTGTCCCACACAGACAATAATATATCATACACAGCCAAGCAGAGTGAAAGGAGAGCAAAAGATAGAGTCTTATATATAATATGGAGATTCTCCTCTGTTTCTGGGGAAGCCATGTTTAGACCTCCAGATCTGAACTGGACGGTTCATCTATTATAGTAAGGACATATTTTGTGAACTGGAAATGGCAAAGTGTTCCATGCAGAGAATAATATGTCATATATCTACATATTCAAGCAGAGTGAAAGGAGAACAAGAATATAGTGTCTTACATATAATATGGAGATTATGGATCGGATTTATCTACTATATGTTCATCTACATATTCAGTGAACTGGAAACAGTGAGTCTTTGGTTTTCCCAAATTGAAGACTGATAGATGGAAATTTCTATATCTGGGGAAGATATATCCCCAATGGGAAATGACACCATGGACTTGTAAACTGTAGCATTTGGCAGCTGGCTGCTCTGGGTGGAAGCCTGGGCAGGATGAACAATATTTTTGTCTTACTGACTGAATGAATGCCTGCGGACTTTTGTCACTGTATAAAGATATGTAACTAACCAGCTGTCATGCGACCCACGTGATCATCTCCACCAAAGGAAGATTTTCGCTGTATTTAGGAAACAAAAAAGTTATACTTGAAATTAAAAAGTTAAATAAACTAGTAATGAACAAGAAAATTTCATTAGAAACATAGAAAAGAGTACTAGATTGATATTATTATAGGTTCTCCAATATGGCAGTTAATGCTGGACAATCTCCTCATGGATGAAGAAGAGACCTGAAGCAACAGAAATGTGGTTCAACAGATGCTGAGAATATCATAAACAATCAAACATTCTGTCTTCTTACAGTTGATGGTTAGTCCTTTCAACTTGCTTTCCATTACTACCTTCTATAAAAGTACCTGTAGTTTCCTTTCTGTACATAAGCAAAAAAAAAACATTTTTCTCTATGACCCATCTCAAATGGTCAGTACCAATCTCCTACAATCTGAAACACATTTCAACTTTAAATAAACCACAAAAGATTGGGAAGTGATAAGAAAAAACAAATCAATCAATCAAAGCCCTTCCTTAAATGCTAAAAAAGATTGTTTCATGCCACATATTAAAGCCTAAAACAATTGTTTATCTGAATACATCTGAGGAATTTTTTAATTAATCATTTAAAATCTTAACATGACGCAGCCACAGAATTCTTTTCACCAAAATTCCAAATTCTTTATTTTTTTTTTACAGTTATATTCACCTTCACCTCTGGGAGGTACCTGAGGTAGAGGGTTATATTAGGAGGCAATTGATGTAGATACCAATGTAAGAAAATGGTTAATCCTAACCTTGAACAGATTAAGATTGTAGTGATTTTGGAGACATCCTCTTGAGAATTGGTTCCACAGAGCAGTGGTTCATGGGAAGAAGCTGTTGAACTAGAACTTACTTCTCACCAAGGAAATAGAGAGGGAATGTGGGTGGCTTGCTAGTATGTAAGTGGTATGGTGTGTCATTGCTTTGAAGGTTTGAAATGGCAGAAACAGGGAATGTAGTTCATCCAAGCACTTTCTCTGGTAGTCGCGATAAAGCAATAAGAGGCTTGCCACATGCTGCCTTTGGGAGAGAGTTTGAAGGTCATAGAATAATTTGAAAATAATTGCCCCACCATTTATTCCAACCAAAACCACTGCATTCAGAATCACTGATCAACATGGAATACCTTAAAGCTATTTAAGCATACAGCATAAAGCCAGAACAATTAAATAGCTTTTGACAAGACTTAAATTTGAATGTCATATCAAAACCTATAAGTACAATGTCTTTGCCAGTTCTTATATGGAAGCTCAACAATGACATAAGATTCAGTCTTAAGTAAATATCATTTACTTTATATCTAGAAATAGTAGAAATACTCTTTAGTTGTTAGAATGTCCTCACTGATAGAAATGAAGCAGACATATATTTTGTGTTTATTATTAATTTATTTTAATTATTAAAACTATTTAATGTTCTTTATACTGGGATAAATGTTGCTGAAAGTGGTCTTAAAGTTTACTACCAAGGGAAACTACTCTGTAATTAGCAAAACTCCAACTACATTTGAAATTTAAAGTTAGTTTCACTTTTACCTCTTCTTTTTTTTCTATATGTCATGTTCCTACAGGACATTGGCAATGATGGCTCTCCACAATTTTCCATCCTTTCTATTTACTGTTCTTGTTTTGACATCCTTTTACACAAGCTCATTGAATAGGTTAGGCATTGATTTTCCTCTGTGACACATGTCTTCAATATGTCCTGTGAGTATAATTTTTTTAAACCCTCTTTCCTCATTATGTTTTCTTGGAATTTCAACTATCTCTTTCTGATGTTAATTATAAGTGCCAATTTTGTTTCTATTTTCTCTGAAACTTTGTTGTTGTTCACATGTTCATTCCGTGGTATTCTCAGCATCCTTCTGTAGAACTACATCTCTGTCACCTCAAGTTTTGTCTTCATTTGACCCACTTTTATTTTTAGGTTAAAATTGGAGTGAAAATAGTTTTATTTTTAGGGCAATACTGTTAAAATGTTCTACCTAGAAATTATTATTAAAACTATTTAATACAAAAAACAAAATCACCTACAAACAGAAATCAGCTCATTATAATATTATAGGACAGTGGTAGCAATTATTTGTTAATGAATAAATATATAAGAGAAACAAATGAAACTGCAAACGGCAATTACATTTAAAATTTGAAGTTAGCTTTAAATTTACTTCTACTTATCCCTAACTAACAAGAGTTAAGTGTTAAATGATTTCTGAATATCGATGATTGAAAATTAAAAAAAATATTTTTAATAATAAAATGCAAATATATTCATGATGAATAGAAAAAGAAATAAAAAGTTTAATATTTTTTACAAAAATAATGATACCTGAAATTAAGGTATGTTTATTTTCATCACGATAAGTTCCATGACCCTAAGTAGTTGTAGGATCACTGTACAGCTGAGAAGCTGACTAGCTTCCTCCAAATGGCTCAGTTATGTGCCAATGTCTAACCCCCTTGTCCCTTCAAGATGTAGACTATCATAGCTCTCCACAACTTCCTGTCTCTTGAAGCTCTTAATAAATTTCAACTTACTGTTATTTCTCCTAAAACCTTTTTTGCCAATCATTTATCAACTCACTAAGTATACTATGTGCTGCTTATCCCTGTCTCTCTTGCCTTCAGTCTGTCTTATGAGTATCATATTTTCCAAGCCCTCCTTCCTCATTAGGTGCCCTAGAAACATCAACTGTCTCTTCCTGATGCTAAGTATAAGTTTCCTTTTTATTTCCATTTTATCTAAAACTTTGTCGTTGCTCATATGTTGGGTCAATGTTATCCTCAGCATCCTTCTGTAGAAGAACATTTCTGTTGTTTCAAGTTTCTTTTTCATATGTGAGAAGATTGTCCAGCACTCACTGCCATACAAGAGGGCAGGTATCACATAATAATTAAGTACCCTTTTCATTGTTTCTAGTGAAGTTTTCTATTTCTTCATATTCTGCTTAGCTTTTGGAAGGCATCTTTGGCTATTCTATATAAAAAAAACATATTTTATAAAATTATTTTATACAACAATTAATAAATTTTCATTTAAATAAATGATGATTTTTAATGTTGATATGTTTTTATTTTCAGCTTTTTTAACAGACACAAACAAAAAATCAGATCAATACTACTCTGGTGAGTATGAATGCAGATAATAAATTATTATTATTTTTATTATTGATTTGAAAGCTGGACAAAAATTTGCTTTATTCTTTTAATTAGAACAACTTGTTACTATTTTCCTAACAACAATCTTGTTATGATGTTCTGTTTTTGATGCAAGTGAGAATGTATTTGGTTTTGTTGTGATATTACAAGTGAGAACATAGCAAGTCATAGCAAAGTAAGTTGAGTTGACATTTCTTTTCTTTACTGTTAAGAAATTCTTTTGCATTAAGAAATCAATCATCAAAATTACTCCCTTTTTTCTTTTTTCTCTCTCTTATTTTTCTTTCTCTTTTTTTACTGTCTCTCTTTTGTCTTTTTCTTTTTTCTTTCAGTCACTTTTGATTTTCTCTTTTTCTTTCACTCTAGTTTGTATTTCTCTTTTTCTTTCTTTCTTTCTTTCTTTCTTTCTTTCTCTTTTGTTTTTCTATTTTTCTTTCTCTCTCTCTTTTTTCTCTTTCGCTTTTGTATTTCTCTTTTTCTTTCTTTCTTTCTTTTTGTTTTTCTATTTTTCTTTCTCTCTCTCTCTTTCTTTTGTCTTTGTTTTTTCTTTTCACTTGTATTTCTCTTTTTCTTTCTCTCTCATTTGTATTTCTCTTTTTCTTTTCTCTCTTTTGTCATTATCTTCTTCTTTCTTTCTTTCTTTCTTTCTTTCTTTCTCTTTTGTTTTTCTATTTTTCTTTCTCTCTCTCTCTCTTTTTTCTCTTTCTCTTTTGCATTTCTCTTTTTCTTTCTTTCTTTCTTTCTTTTTGTTTTTCTCTTTTTCTTTCTCTCTCTCTCTCTTTTGTCTTTGTTTTTTCTTTTCACTTGTATTTCTCTTTTTCTTTCTCTCTCATTTGTATTTCTCTTTTTCTTTCTCTCTCTTTTGTCATTATCTTCTTCTTTCTTTCTTTCTTTCTTTCTTTCTCTTTTGTTTTTCTATTTTTCTTTCTTGCTCTCTCTTTTGGCTTTCTTCTTTTTCTCTTTTGTTTTTCTCTTTTCTCTCTCTGTTTTGTCTTTTTCTTTTTCTCTCTCTCTCTTTTGTCTTTCTCTTTTTCTTTCTTTCTCTTACTTTTTTCTTTCTCTCTCTTATTTCTTTCTCTTTTATTTTTCTCTCTTTCTCTTTTGTCTCTCTCATTTTCCATCTCTCACTTTTTTCTCTTTTATCTTTTTTTCTCTCTCTTTTGTCTTTCAATCTAAGTGTTGAATTCTTTAGTTGTTTCTCATTCCACTTTCTTCCTATTGACAATAATACAGCCTCTCTTCATTTCCAGCTGTCATTCTTAATATAAGTCTCTAGGCTGACTGAGACAATGAAGAAATTATGTAAAAAGAACAAATAAACTAAAACTCAGAAATCTAATTAAATTACCATTTGTGATATTTTTATTGTTCTTTTCATTTTATCAGGATCTATATATTCTCTAATCAACAGTCTTGATATCCTAAGCTATCACTTTTGAGAGCAATTGAAAGAAGAGTCTGTAACGTCACATTAGTGTTAGATCTGGTACTTACTGCTAAACATTAAGGAATGAGCAGTCAATCTGCCTCCTTAGAAAAAAAGAGAATTATAAGTTTCCTAACAAAGAGGTGAATTGAGACAACAGAGATGTGCTTCCAGAGAAGGATGCTGAGAATAACATGGACAGAGCATATGAGCAATGAGGAAGCTTATAAAAAATATGGAAACAAAAAGGATATACTTAGAATTAAAAAGAGTCAGCAGAAATTTTGGGACCCATAATGAGGAAAAGCTTGATGGCTATTCCTTTCTTTTGGCTTTCACTGACTACCTTGTCAAATAATTCATTCTTTTCCCTTTTTGAACCTGCCATCAAAACAGATTCCTCTGCATAGCATGTGTTGTTAAGGTTACATCTGCTGATAATAAATACATGTAAACTTTCAAGTACAGTTTAAACAAATCTGGGAAGGAAACATATCCTTGTCATATTGCTCTTTCTATTTTTTGTGAATTCATTTATCTTGTTATCTATTCACATGCAAATTGTATGTTTTCAGTATATGTTACAGATATGTTTTTTTAACTGGTATCACCCTATGCAAGGCAGTAAAGCCATGATGAGATTACAGGATGTGGGATAAATAGGAACAGAAACATTAATAATGAGCAAGATGAGAGTAATCTGTCTGGTGAAAATGGTAGCCAACGTCCAAAATGACCTCAAGTTCGTTGTTAACTGGGGCAAAAGATGGCTTGTTAATTTTAGCACCTACAAAACTAACTTCTCTCCATTAATCATTGGAGAGGCCCCACTCTGAATTCCATCAGCATGGCCAGGGATAACCTCCAGGAAAGTGATTTCATTATCTTTTCTATGTAGACCAAGCTTTCCTGAATGGAATATTGTTGCTATATCGGGACTGGATCTGCGCAGCCTTGAGTTCAAAAGTAATTTCATGGCCTTGTGGGTTATGAATCATTTTTCTATTCTGTATTCCTTATCCCACTAATGCAATTTTGCTAGCCACTCACAGCTATATCACTATTACTATGGGAAATGTTCAAATGAGTTATATTGCTTACTCCTGCCAGCTCAGACATTCACAGCTAGGACCCAGCATGCCATGTTCACAATGACAGAACCTTCCCATTTCCTTCATGATCCATTGTTATGGAGTGTCACTCAGAGGATGCTTCCCTGATCAACAGAAGGTCAACATATCTTCATATTCACTTCTTACTTCCCCTTTTCCCCTCCCTTAGAACAATCTCACTTAGTGACCCTCTACCTTGAGTTGCCCTTGGGCCTTATATTAGGTAAACGAAACTAAAAGATAAAAATCAAATATGCAAGATCGATCTATTCACTGAAGTGCTAATGAGCAAGTGCATTAAATTAGGTTACTCTCACTGCTGGGTATATATATATATATATATATATATATATATATATATATATATATATAATGTATTGGGGCAGCAGATCATTATTTAAACATATATTATTAAATATAACTGACAATGAATGTCTCTTCTGTCTGATCATGAGCTGTTCAAATTTTTGCTTTAATTTCTGGTGAAAATAAAGACAAAAATTGTTCAACATTTGAATATTTTTTTTATTAAGTTGGCCCGAAGCTTTAAGCTTACATGAGTCACCCTCAGAGTGGTTATACAGATATGAAACAAAGATATCCACCGTCAAAGATGATATTTTGTTATTTTGACGTAGAAAATTGTTATGCGATGATAACAGTCATTGAATGCAGATCGTAAGTTCAAGATGCAGTTCTATGACATCATACCATGCAATAAACCGATGTATTGCAACAGAACCAATATGAAAATTTCTCCAATTTAACCAGTAGAGAAGACAATATTTATGAATAAAAATGACAATAGGAAAAACTAGTAATTGCTGTCGCGTTTCATCCAATGTGGACTTTATTTCGTATTTTGCTTTGATAAAGTCCATATTGGTTGAAACACATCAGCAATTACTAGTTTTCCTATTGTCATTTTTATTCATAAACAGAACCATATGTTTAGATGCAATGTAATGTGTTGTGACTTGTTTGAAATGTAATTTTGTTGAGTGTGGGTTGCTTTGTTTTAATGCAGATTACCTCCAATATCTAAAGGTTCTTTTTACTGTGTGCGTATGTGTAAGTATTATTATGTTAGTTTAGTGATGTTTGTGACTTCAGATTTGATACTCATTTTATATTAAAATGTTCTAATTCTAGTGATAAATAAGAAAGTTTTCTTGTAAGCCATTTACAAGTCAAAGGTATTTGATCCTTACTATGAGTATAACATAACCCTAAATCAGAGCATTTCAATAAGCTCAGTGCTTTTTCCTTAACTTCAACAACTGAAATTGCCTTAAAATGATTGTCTCCCAAAGCTGCTATTTAACCCTGTTATGGTAATTTACCCATGCATACATGTACTCTCCCAGCTATAAATAGGAGCAGGTACTGCCTTTCAGAGAGGGAAGTTTCCAGCAGTCAGCTCTGACAGTCGGAGTGAACTTTTGTGCTGTAACACTCTTGTTTGTATATATTTGTATTACTGTTTCTGTTAATATATTTGTGTCTTTATTTCTGGCCCTAACAAGGCCACAACAAACCCATAGCTGAAGAAAAACTCTACAAACTATGACATTGTCAATTTGTTACCATATTTTTTTAATCATTTCACCTGAAGCAAAGATATAAACCCACTAAGATGCAAGGGATTACTGAGTGTGAGAATATGAGAAAAAGAAAATATTATTAAGAGAGAACATTAAAAAGAAAAGAAATTAATAAGACAGAAGATAATAATTGACATGCCATTTAAATTTTTGAAGATCAAAATTGAGCAGAAAGTAAAACACTTCTAACAAATGAGAAAAGAAGACACTTCTAAAAAATGAGAAGTGTGAGAGTAGAAATTGTTATCATATTTGTAAAATCCTCAATAGCCATAAACACAGCAATCATAAAATCAATACCATTACATTTTCCTTTTCCATACAAATGGCCATGTTCATTTGTCTGCAAGTTGTTGACCTTTCCTTCCTTATATGACAAATCATTTTCTTTCATCAAATGCTGAATGATATTTTTGTCAAATCAAATTCTTTGATTTCAAATTCAGTCTGTTCAATTCCAGTTCATTGTTCATCTTGTTTCTTTTCTGCCATATTTATAAATGGGTTATATTTTGATTTTCTCACATAACACTTTTAAAGAATGGATGACCTCTATGCCATTTACCATTAAGTATGACAGACATATTTGTCTATTTCTAAAACTTTCTTTCTGTATCTGAGATATATCTGGAATATATTCAAACTTTTGCATGGCCTTGAAGCAACTTGGCAACCGATCAGTAGAGACCTTAATGTGCTTGCATGAACAGAGACTCTCCTGTGGCTTTATGCAGTCAAAACTGAGATATCATTGTGAATGTTGAAATACATCTTGAATGAGTGGGTAGATTCTTCCTGCCTCATCTAGAGTTTTGTGGCAAAAATGCATCAGCCATATCTCTTGGCATCAGTCCCTACAGTCCAGATTTGGTTCCATACAAATTGTTAGGGAGGGAGTCGAAGCTAAAATTTACACTGAAGTTCAAATAAGAAAATTGTGAAGATGATGAAGGTGAAATTGACCAAGGAAAGATATTTTTTCATTAATGAATGGCTGGATTGTTTGCAAAGAGACCTGTTACACACAGAAATAAACATGTTTTGGTAACTTCAACCAAAAAAGATCAGCTTATTAAATTTACAATCTATTTTCCCATTTGTTGAATAATTTGTTGTATATTCAAATAATAATAAATTGTTGTACATCTAAATTAAAATTCATGTTTTTGTTTTGTTCTGTTTCAAGAAATTTTTGACAATCAAGTTCATTATCAATAACTGAGTATTGACTATGTGATACACAAGTTTGTCTTGGCAGTTTTTTTTTTTGGGAATGTTATAATTCAAATTTAAATATACATGTAAAAGTTTTAGATAAGTGATATACTTGTGTAGGTATTTGTGATATTGTTGGATACAGAAGTGAGCTGTATTTGTGTGTGTTTACATTCTTTTATATATAGCCCAAGATGTAAACTATGAGTTGGAGACACCAAAATTAAGGAAGTAGAGAAATTTAAATATCTAGGCAGTGTTTTAACAGAGGAGAGAAAAAATGACACTGAAATTAGAAGGCTGGCTCATTGGAATAGTGAACAATCCCTCCAAAAGCTAAAGAACATATTAAAAAACAGAAAAATTTAATTAAAACAAAGAAAAGAGTACTGAATTGTTACATGATATCTGTGTTTCTATATGTTAGTGAAAAGATGAAGTAACTTGAAAAAGCAAAAATGTGGTTCTTCAGAAGGATGCTAAGAATACCATAGACTGACCATGTGAGTAATGAACAAATTTTAATGAAAATGTAAATAAAAAGGATATTTATACATAGAATAATTAAGAGATAATTGAAAATTCTAGGGAATGAGGAAAGAAGGCTTAGAAAATTTGTTACTTGCAGGACAGATTGGAGGCAAGGACAGAAGAAAGCAGTGAAAAAACTATGTAATGTGTTTGTGTAAATTGGTGGCAGAACAGAAATCAGAAGAAATGCAAAATTTATTAAGAGATATAAAAGTCAGGGAAATATGGTGAGCTATGATTGGCCATGTTATGAGAGAACATGGAACATAGAAGAAGATAAAGATGGCTGGGGTAA